CTCTGATGCTGCCAGCTGTGTTCTCTTTGACAGGTTCATGCTCTGGCACGTGACTTTCTCAGCCATCAGACGGAGTAACAGCGGTGCCTTCCACGTAGACACGTTGGTGTTGATGACATGGTGTCTGGCTTAAAATCAATGCTCAAGGAATGCTGGGATTTCAAGTTACTCTCTATTTTTAAATCTATATGTGCATTTATCTTTTTAAAGTTGTTGTTTTTCTTTTGCTCATGATGATCGAAGGCTGGGACCCCTTGTCCGTTTCTCTTAAAGGCCATACAGTCTAACACAGCATCACTTCTGACAAAAGGCCAGAGCGCAGCGGCCCCTGGGTGCTCAGAGTTACAACTACACAGAGTTTTTTTTTTTCTATTTTGGTGAGAGTAACACCAGGACACAGAGACGGACATTCCCACACCTGGGTTTCCATCATACCGTGTCCTGCCCACAATTTCCATCACAAGGCTACCCACAGCTGTCACCAGGAACAGCTGCGTGGGAAGAAAGGGGCTTAGAAGATTGGCCTCAGCTCTGCAGAGAAGCCCACGCAAGAGGTCCCCTGAGCTAAGCCAGGTGTGGACGCCACCACCCATAAGGCGGCAGACATTCTGGTGCTGGTTTTTTCCCGTGCTTGGTGGCTGGGGGGATTCTTAGGTATATCCTGTGTCTTTCTGTCAGGAATCTACTTGTGTGCAGTCAGGAGGGGCGGGATCCTTCTGTGCTCCTCACAAAACCCAAATGCTTCCAGGTGGAATGAGGAGGGTGTCAACATGCGCACTGCGTCTCAGGCCACCCGTGCGACATTTTCACCGAGAAGTTTTCTAAAGCATGGAGCTGGTCTTCAGCTCACTGGTTCATCAAGCATACTACACATCCAGCACCTGTGCAGGCAGTCCGCAGTCCTGCGTAAGGCTCTGCCCGGAAGACATCCCGAATCCCGGCTCAGCCAGCACCTCTCCCTGCCCCAGCAGCTCCCAGCCAGCACCTCTCCCTGCCCCAGCAGCTCCCAGCCAGCACCTCTCCCTGCCCCAGCAGCTCCCAGCCAGTGCCTTGGAAAAGGCAACCCGGACATGTCCGTCCCTGGCCAGGAGGCACCGCCCAGCCCACCACTCTTAGGAGACCCCAGCAAAGTTTTCACTGGAATCATTTCCTCCTTTACAAAATTGCCTGAATCAGAAAAAAAAAGACACGTTTCAACCTTTCCCATTTAGATAAGCCTGGTGACCCATTTAGTCCACTCTAAGCAACTTTAGCCAGAAGAACAAGGATTAGACTTTGCCAAGTGGCCAGGGCACTCCACGGGCAAGCCCAGGATGGCACTATGTGTTCTACATACACATATGCACCCACGTGTGTATTGTATATATGGACTACACTCCCGTACACGTGTTAGATGCGTAGATACGCTCGCCTTAAAATATCATGTGCATACACTGTTTGTAAATACGTAGTAAACGTATAGTCTGTATTACATTCATGTGCGTTTCTATTTTCAGGTATGAAATATTTTTAAATGAACGTCGGGATACTAATGTTCCTGGGCCTCTTCCAGACCACTCCCGGGCTGGCTCCTGGGTCACTTCAGGAGAAGCTCTGAACTGCTGTCACTTTCTGTTAGGAAACATTAGGTCCCTTATTGGACAGCAGAGTTGGTCAGTTCTAACTTCACACTACAAGCTCTTTGGAGGTTTCAGCCACTGCTTTAAATAACAGGGAAATTATCACACATTACAGTTATTTGAAGCCGTGAAAACTTTCTCTCAGCATTTTTTATGTACAACTTGGCCATGACTCCTGGAAGCTGCCGATTGGCAGCATGGCCAGGTCACTCTGAGGCCTGGAGGCTCCTCTGCCCCCTGCCCATTCTCCAGCCAGCCGGCCTCCTCCTCCGTCCCCTGGACCGCCTTGCCCACCGACACCCTCTCCTTGGGAGCCTCACAGAGCCCTGGATAACCCCTACCATGCTTTGCAGTTGTAAGTTACCCTAGTAACCATTTAGTATAACTCCTACTTTTCCCCCCAAGCAAACTATGGGATTATTTTTCTAACTATAAAAATAACCCACTCTAACCGTGCCTGAAACAAGAACACCGTTCACGGCTGACAATGTTCTAATTTGAATTGTTAAGTAATGTTTTCACTTGGTTCAAAATGTAAAACTACAAAAGGATACACATGGCAGATCGTTTCCTCTAGAGGCAACAGACGTAACGGGCTCCCTGTGTACTGTGTGGTTCAAGAGCCATCGTAGCATGTGAAAATAGGTGCACGCTCACTACAGAAAGTCCTGAAGGAGAAAACGAACCTGCCCCTGGTGTCACGCCTGGGGAAGCGGCACATTGAGAGTCCCGTCCTCAGCAGTTCTCCAGACCATCAGGGAACCTCCCAGCTGTGTTTGTTAACAGCTCTTCAACACAGTGTCCCCTGCTTCGAACTCTATTTTTCATTAAAGACTCTGCGGCCATGGATAACGAGTGGCAGAGTTGAGATTTGATCCAATCTCTCTACGTTTCTGTTTGCTTTGCTCAGATAGGAAAACCTTGATCGTTCCTGTTTCTATTTGCTTTCCTCTGTCATCTGATACATTATCACGTTCACAAATGTTCCAGTTGTAGAACTTCGCCATATTTAGCTGAAATCTCCATTTTTCCCCTTCCTTTTCCTCTCCAGCCAGACTTGGGGGTTGATTCCAAAGTGAGAAGGTACCCAAATTTTAACTTTCCCCCAAATTTTGAGTCAAGCTGTTTCTTTAGTTTCACATTATTGGGGTGTCAAAGGACCAGCGTGTGAAGACGTCAACACGTCGGAAGTGTCCTGCACGTTAGTGGGAATTCCACCTCCAGGACGCCCACGGTGACTCCCACTCATTTCCAGCCCAGACTCACAGGTTATATTTCCTCAGAAAACCCACACTGATCATTCAATAAAGAATTGCTATAGAAAAATGTAGAGAAAAGATGTAAAGTTTGACTGAGTTTCCTAAGTCATGCCGTGGCTCCAAAGCCATTTTTGCATTTTGTGACCAATTTACAGAAACGGGAAAGAAACACAGCCACACCGCTCCAGATGACTCGAGGAAGAGTCTAACAGAGCTCGCACAGTAGGCTGTCACTTTGCCAAGAAAGCTGCTCAGTCGCTGCCTTTTCCATTTGGCCCTAAACAGGATGGGGCTAGCGACAAGCTGTGGACTCCAGGGCTCCGCACACGTTATTGCCGGAGCTCATTGTAGTTACGGGGAGTCTTTCCCTTTGCTCGTTTTTCATTTTGCAACTGAACGCACGTGAGAGAAATCTCCCTACCTGAAGGCTCCTTGAGCTCCTGGCCCAGACCCTTCCATGACCACCTCCATGAAGGCCACTGGTCTTCCAGGAAGGGAGCCAGGCCCCCCAGGCCTCTTTCTCCTGGGGCCGTGGTTCAGCAGCCCCCATAGAAGCTCATTTCTGAGCAACTTCCGCCTGGTCCTGAGCAACTTCCGCCTGAACCTGAGCAACTTCCGCCTGGTCCTGAGCAACTTCCACCTGGTCCTGAGCAACTTCCACCTGAACCTGAGCAACTTCCACCTGAACCTGAGCAACCTCCGCCTGGTCCTGAGCAACCTCCGCCTGAACCTGAGCAACCTCCGCCTGAACCTGAGCAACCTCCGCCTGGTCCTGAGCAACCTCCGAGCAACCTCCGCCTGGTCCTGAGCAACCTCCGCCTGGTCCCGGGCAACCTCCGCCTGGTCCCGGGCAACCTCCTCCTGGTCCCGGGCAACCTCCGCCTGCACCCGGGCAACCTCCGCCTGCACCCGGGCAACCTCCGCCTGGTCCTGAGCAACCTCCGCCTGAGCCTGAGCAACCTCCGCCTGGTCCTGAGCAACTTCCGCCTGGTCCTGAGCAACTTCCGCCTGGTCCTGAGCAACTTCCACCTGAACCTGAGCAACTTCCGCCTGAACCTGAGCAACCTCCGCCTGGTCCTGAGCAACCTCCGCCTGGTCCTGAGCAACCTCCGCCTGGTCCTGAGCAACCTCCTCCTGGTCCTGAGCAACCTCCGAGCAACCTCCGCCTGGTCCCGAGCAACCTCCGAGCAACCTCCGCCTGGTCCCGAGCAACCTCCGCCTGGTCCCGAGCAACCTCCGAGCAACCTCCGCCTGGTCCTGAGCAACCTCCGCCTGGTCCTGAGCAACCTCCTCCTGGTCCTGAGCAACCTCCGAGCAACCTCCGCCTGGTCCCGAGCAACCTCCGAGCAACCTCCGCCTGGTCCTGAGCAACCTCCGCCTGGTCCTGAGCAACCTCCGCCTGGTCCTGAGCAACCTCCTCCTGGTCCTGAGCAACCTCCGAGCAACCTCCGCCTGGTCCCGAGCAACCTCCGAGCAACCTCCGCCTGGTCCCGAGCAACCTCCGAGCAACCTCCGCCTGGTCCCGAGCAACCTCCAAGCAACCTCCGCCTGGTCCCGAGCAACCTCCGCCTGGTCCCGAGCAACCTCCGCCTGGTCCCGAGCAACCTCCGCCTGGTCCCGAGCAACCTCCTCCTGGTCCCGGGCAACCTCCGCCTGTACCCGGGCAACCTCCGCCTGCACCCGGGCAACCTCCGCCTGAGCCTGAGCAACCTCCGCCTGAGCCTGAGCAACCTCCGCCTGGTCCTGAGCACCTTCCGCCTGGTCCTGAGCACCTTCCGCCTGGTCCTGAGCAACTTCCGCCTGGTCCTGAGCAACTTCCGCCTTGTCCTGAGCAACTTCCGCCTGAGCCTGAGCAACTTCCGCCTTGGCCTGAGCACCCCTCCCTTCCTTTTCTGTGTCCTTCCACGCCCAGCGAATGGAGACCTCCACTTCTTCTTGGCAGCTGGTGGGTGAGGAGGGAGGAGGGGTAGGTCATGACCAATTCAACTCCTTTGGAGACAATTCCACGAGTTTGAATAATTTATTTGAATAAGGAACTGTGCCCTCCTCCTTGGCAGCTCAGAAACGCTGAGATTTGAGAGTCGGTCTAGCACCCAGCACCAATGCCACCCTCTGTTGGGTCTGAGAATCCCTCCAGGGCCTGGGAGGAGCCTGACTGTGTCCTTTTCCGGAGTTCTTTGAACTGTTTTCCACTCCCCTTCCCCCAGCTATTTTGAAAATAAGTGCTAAAGTCCATGCCACATGGCAGTAGCTGATAACCAGGCCCCTGTTTCCTGCTGAACTGGGACAATTGAAAGCTGAATTTTCACATAAACCATCGCCCTGGCTGGGGCAGACCCCAGGCCTGCCTGAGATTTATTTCTGCAAAGTCCTGAAAGACTCAGCATCAGAGTCCCCATAGTTGTGCTGTTGTGACGGGAGCAAAAAATAAGAAGATATCCACCAGTGGAGGGACACTCGGGCGGCCCTCTCTTCTTGAGTGTGGCCTCTGATCTGCCCAGGGTGACTACACCTTTGGAAGTCAGTGCATTGCAGAGATGTCACTGCAACAGGCCGTGGAACAGGTGACTCCAAAACTCTAGCCCATGCCAGGAAACTCGATTCTGTGCTCACAACCTGAAGGTCCACAGTGGTTCAAGTGATCAAAACTGACCTGGGATAGGCCAGGCCCAGTGGCTCACACCTCTAATCCCAGCACTTTGGGAAGCCGAGGTGAGCAGATCACCAGAGGTCAGGAGTTCGAGACCAGCCTGGCCAACATGGTGAAACCTCGTCTCTAATAAAAACACAAATTATCTGGGAATGGGCACAGTGGCACATGCCTATAATCCCAGCTACTGGGGAGGCTGAGGCAGGTGAGTCACTTGAACCTGGGAGGCAGAGGTTGCAGTGAGCGGAGATCGTGCCTGGGCAAAAAGAGCAACACTTCATCTCAAAAACAAACAAACAAACAAACAAAATGCCTGGCCTGGGCTGGTGGCTATTTTGTAAGCGGGGTTTGCCTGGTGTTGGGGGCAAGCTGCAGGCTGGGTGAAGTCTTCTCCTAGTGCCTCTCATCCTCTTTAGACTCGTTCTTCTCAGGGACCCAGGGGCCCAGCCAAACATACAACTCAAGCAGACCTTCCGGGTCACATCACTGCGACCCACATGCCATTGGCCAAGGCCAGCCACATGACCAAGTGCAAAGTCTGTAGGGCAGGGAAGGGGGAGGGAGGGGAATGCCTGCAGATAGTCTGTAGGGCAGCGAAGGTGAGGGAAGGTGAGGGAAGGTGAGGGAAGGTGAGGGAGGGGGTGTCTGTGGATACTCACCTCAGCACAGAAGATCTAGTATGGAAGGTTGAACATTTGAACATGGTGGGAGCTAACTACAGAATAAAATACACATCTTGCCGGACGCCCGATCCCACGAAATAAATAAAAATAACATGAGGCAGCTATTCCACCTTCCCCGGAAGAAACGAGGCTGGGCAGGTCACCTTCCGTAGGCAGTGCAGGAAGAAGGCAGCACACACCATGGCAAACCACAGGTTCCTGGAAGATCACCTGAGTGTCAGAGAGAGGCCTTTGGGAAGGCC